AAGGCAATGGGAAGGTGCACTGCAAGGCAATGGGAAGGTGCACTGCAAGGCAATGGGAAGGTGCACTGCAAGGCAATGGGAAGGTGCACTGCAAGGCAATGGGAAGGTGCACTGCAAGGCAATGGGAAGGTGCACTGCAAGGCAATGGGAAGGTGCACTGCAAGGCAATGGGAAGGTGCACTGCAAGGCAATGGGAAGGTGCACTGCAAAGCAATGGGAAGGTGCACTGCAAGGCAATGGGAAGGTGCACTGCAAGGCAATGGGAAGGTGCACTGCAAGGCAATGGGAAGGTGCACTGCAAGGCAATGGGAAGGTGCACTGCAAGGCAATGGGAAGGTGCACTGCAAGGCAATGGGAAGGTGCACTGCAAGGCAATGGGAAGGTGCACTGCAAGGCAATGGGAAGGTGCACTGCAAGGCAGAGAGAGAGTGGCGTCACTCACTCTGTGTTGGTGTCGTGTACAAAGGTCAGCACGTATCCATCGTCCTCCTCCAGGCAGAGAAGAGGGTGATGACAAGGTGGGAGACAGGAAGGAGGAGCAATGCAGAGAGAGCGCGGGAAAGCGGTGTGGAACAAAGGAGATTCACACTCGCCACTCACACTCGCCACTCACACTCGCCACTCACTCTGTGTTGGTATCATGCACGAAGGTGAGCACGTATCCATCGTCCTCCTCCAGGCCAGGCTCGTTGCTTCGAGGCACAAACACAGGCTCGGACCCAAACCTGCCCGGCCCGTGGTCGAAGAACCCTGAGACGCAGCCGCCGACGGTGTAGTACGGTGCAGAGAGGTCCGGGGCACTTTGGAGGTCTATCTTGGCAATGCCGCAGATGCGTGTGATGCCCTCGAAGGAAGCACAGTACACATAGCGCTGCTTGCTGTTGAGACGAGGGAGAGGGGAAAGCAGAAAGCTGTTGAGACAAGGGAGAGGGGAAAGCAGAAAGCTTTTGAGTCGACTCAAAAGCAGACGAGGGAGAGGGGAAAGCAGAAAGGGGAAAAGGGGCGCTGCGTGCAATGACGCAGATGCGGGTAATGCCTTGAGGAAGGGCCACAGCACGCACGGCAAAGCTTGTCGTGTGGGAGGAGAGGAAATAGGGGAAAAGGGACGGAGGAGGCGAGAGATGGTTGGAGTAGAGGAGAAGAAAGGGCCATGTGAGCCTGGAAAAGAAAGAGATCTTTCCCATAAAGCATTGTCCTTATTCTGCTCCAAATGTTACCAACAGGTAATCGCAGCCGGGTTCAGTCAGTCTTCACTCACCGCCCCATGTCGCCTTTTGAGGCGCCTCAAAAGCAGTCTTTACTCACCGCCCCATGTCGCCACCATAATCAACAAAGACACCACACAACACACGTGACAACACCCAGCACCCTTCTCGCGCAGCACGCCCATCCCACTCACCGCCCATCCCACTCACCGCCCATCCCACTCACCGCCCCATGTAGCCGTTGAAATGCGGGGGAAGTCGCACAACACAGCCCGGGGCACACACGCGGCACACCTATGGAACACACACACCACCCACAGCACACAGCCCGGCCATCCCACTCACCGCCCCATGTAGCCGTCGTGGATGCGCGGGAAGTCACATCCGAACGTGGTGAGCTGGTGCTGCGATGCTGTTGCCGTTTGAGAGGTTGCCACACAGCGTGCACACTTGCAGCACACACACAGCCCACAGCGCCCTCCCATCAATCTACTCACCGCCCCATGTAGCCATCGTGGATGCGCGGGAAGTCGCATCCGAACGTGGTGAGCTGGCGCTGCGATGCCTTGCCCGTCGCCATGTTGAACCGGAACTCGTAGCTGCGAAGGGGGAGGAGGGAGGGGCGCATGGGGGCGTGGGGGGGAATGGGACACGGGGCATAGAAAAACTTTGACTTTTGAGTCGACTCAAAAGTCAACGTGGGGGGGAATGGGACACGGGGCATAGAAAAACTTTGAGTCGACTCGGCACAAGTCACCACTGGCACTGCAATGCCTTGCCCGTCGCCATGTTGAACCGGAACTCGTAGCTGGGGGAAAGGAGGAGAATGAGGGAATAGGCAAAAGTGGAGTCGACTCCTCTATTGACCCACGCATGACACTGAACAGAACACTCACCCCTCTCACACATTCAATGAAAGCCACTTGCAACCACTCAAACCCACCCATCGCACAATTCACAGTCTGGCAGCTTTGTCCTCTTCCATCTGCTCCAGTACCAGGTTCATCTCATCAAACCAGCACGCAATGAGCAGGTCCTTTCGCCTCTCCCACACTCCCTCAGCCACAATACAAGCACCACCCAGCCATCGCACAACTCACAGTCTGGCAGCCTTGTCCTCTTCCATCTGCTCCAACTCAAGATTCATCTCATCGAACCGGCATGCAATCAGTACCACCTCCGTCTCGCCCTTCTCCGTCTGCTCCTCCCACGCGTTCCCCGTGTGGAAGATGAACAGCGCCGGCAGCTCGAACCACCGAAGCTCCGCCTCGCTCTCCGCGTACCGAGGCAGGATCCCGAACCTGGCCGGCCGGTCCGGGTTCCACAGGAACGGCATCTTGCCCTTGACAATCTCTTTCGGAGCAAACTCCAAGGGAAGATCTAAAAAGATCGCGTAGTTCTGTGTGATGGCGAAATCATGCATCATGCCAGGCGTGGGGATGGTGATGTTGACAGGAGGACCCATCTCCCCCGCTTTAGTCACCACGCGGTAAGTCACGAACGGCGCCTTGGCCTGGTAACCAAACGTAAACATTTCGCCCGTTTCGGGATCCACTTTCGGATGCGCCGTAAACGGGTGGTTCAGCCGGCCACCGTACGTCAACCTCCCCTGAGTTTCCAACTCGCCGTCTTGGAGCACTTGTATCGCGTACGGCGCGTCGCCCTCGTGCAGCGCGAGCAGCCGCCGCGCGTGGAAGATGAGCGCGGTATTCCCGGTGCCGTTGCCCTGGGAGAGGTCCAGCACGCCCAGCCACTTGCGCAGCTGCTCTAAGAATATCTTCCCCAGGCCCACGTATCCGAGCATATCCCCGAATTTCAGGAACTTGGCGCGCTGGTACGCCGACTCCTGCTCGAGGCGGCTCGTGCGCACCCAGCGGTTCACGTAGCTCGCTTTGCCGTCCTTGATGCGCACGCCGTGCAGCATGCTGGCGGGGAAGAATGTGCGCGGAGGGGGGGTTCGGGTGGAGGAGGGAGGGGGCTGTTAGCTAACGCGCACACACTCGCAAAGCGAGTAGTTTCGATATAGAGAATGCGGGTAGAGAGACGACCGTTGAGGCGACTCGAAAGCTACGCGCACTCACGAAGAGGTGGTAGCTGAAGGTGGGCGCGAACTTGGGGTTGCAGAAGCAGCAGGTGGTACCATCGCCGGAACCATTGCTTGCCTGTTACGCGCACACTCGCAACCCAAAGTTCCACTCACCCGTCGCCGTCGAAGAGGTGGTAGCTGAAGGTGGGCGCGAACTTGGGGTTGGGCCCGTTGCGCACGAACTCGCCGTTCAAACACTCCTGCGCCGGGGGAATGCAGGCGAGAGGGGGTGTGGGGAAGACGTGGAGGGCGCGCGGGGAGAGGGGGGAGACGCAGGTGGTACGTAGGGGTAAGCGGGGGCGCTGGACGGTCAATGATGGGGCAACCTGGTCGCGCGGGGCCAGCGCGACGCGTAACAGGGATTAAGTAGAAGTAAATGGGGGCGCTGGGGGAACAAAAGCGTGGCTTGAGACGTACGGCTGACGGGTACTAGATCCGGGATTCGAAGGTCCACGTGGCGCGAACGTACTGGGAGTTGGCCGGTGACGGGGAGGTCGGCGACGGGGCCGATTTCCTTATCCACGGGAGCGAACACGCCCGTGAGGTACGTCGTGCTGGGAGGCGTTGTGATCCTCGCATTCAGAAATCGCTCGATGGCGTCGCACAGCCAGTTCGCGTAGCTCTGCGACGGCTGCACTTTCGGCTGCACTGGCACTAACAGCTTCTGCTGCTCGCTGGCGTCGCGTCGCACCATGATTACGTCGCGATTGGCGCTAGGAGGATCGAGCACGTCGCGGGCTGCGTCGACGGAGAAGCGACTCAACGTGTGAGTTTCAAGTCGAAGGACGACAGTGGGTGGACCCTTTATGGCTGACTGGAATGCGAGCACGGTTTCCCACTAATGTGCACCTGACATAACAACAATGTTGGGGATCCGCGCTACATAAAAGGTCAGGGAAAGTAGCAGCAGTTGCCGGGTGGAATGCGAATGGCGCATTGTGGTGGTCGGTTCACTCACTCACCACACCACTCATCAGTCCGTAGTGAATCTCTAGCGAAGCGAGGGGATGGAGGTGTGGAGTGCACTTACGGTCCAGATTCGTAGTGGTTGTTGATGGAGGCATCTGCACGCTCCATCCGGAATGAAGAGACGCGGTTCGGAGTGGTCGGCAGTTTGTTTTATGCTGCCCGCGGGCCAATTGGTGGGAGGTCGAGCTTGTTTTGTTTCTGCGTGCAACATTTTGCGACTGACTCCGGCATTATCGAGTCCTCCAAAGTTGCCTTGGGCAACGAACAAATCTCGAGTTTGGGGGAGATTCTGGCGTCCACGTCATGGACAATCTGGCATCGTGGAATCGAAACAAGCGAGCCGAGGGAAGGTTCTGACGTGGCGAGGCATTCACCTTCCACGTCCTGTACTCCATACGGAAATGCTCCAATACAGTTCCATTCCATCAGCAGCTCCCCTTCATGTTGCCACTTATGCTTGTTGTTCAAAATCTCATCTATGTACACAGAGAAGTGAAACAAAAGGGTGATCGTTAAACTTAACAACTTAGCACTTCGGTCGAGTCGAGGTGGTCTTCCTGCAGGAGGCTGATGCCAATTTCATGTGCGGCAGGGAGGTTGAACATTACACGGTGAATGAGAAGAAGTTAACGCTTGGTTGGCTGCATCCGGAAAATAAGGAGTACCTGAGAGAGCGTGCGGCTCATCCTGAGGTGATTGAAGTCCTACTGAAAGGGGTCCCGGCGGTGATCTCACCGGCGATGGTCAAGAAGAACCTGGTGACTGCGGTGCTGTTGAAGAGGGGTCGTACTGCTTTCCTGTATGGGTCGGCGTTTCACCGGGTGCTGGATCCGGTTTCGGAATCAGACACGGACAAGATTAAGGGTCTGGTGTTCAGGCATCGGGGGGATAAGTATAAGTGGTGGCACAAGGTCACCGACCGCGTCCTCGGAGTGGAGCTGATGGTGTCGTTTCCTGCTCTCACATGTGGTTTCTGCAACGGGATGCATATGTCATGCTTTCATGATGATTATGTGAAGGAGCGGCAGAACAACATTGGGAACTGGAATCTGACGCTGATGCGTGCGCATGAGATCAATGGTAACTCACCTCGCTATCACCTTCTTTTGCAGGCGGTCGCAGCGGCAGATCCCACGTCTCACCTTTGTACCGTCTCCCCTCCGAGCAGCTGCTTCCATGAAGCTCACTCCGGCGATGAAGACTCTGCTTGCGGACCCGGCGATCACTTTCGTCTCCACAGGAGGTGTTCGGGAGGAGTGGCTGTGCGTGCAGGAGGAGTGCGGGAAGACCCATGGTACCAGTTTCGAAAAGGCGGTCGAGCACGTGCAGTCAGTTCGTCACGGCACTGGGTTGCTCAAGGCTGGCGCAGCGACCCGCCTGAGCATGGGGAAGCCGGCCCTGGGCCAAGTCAAGAAGGATTTCAAAATGTGACGGGTAGGCTGGTGGTGGTGCTGACGCTGGCGAGGACGCTCCAAACAGGGGAGATGGCAGTTTCAGTTTCAGAACCTGCACGGCAGGAAGAAGCAGAAGTAGCATAAGAGGGAATCAGGCTTTGTTGTATCATTCTTAATAAAGGCCGTGGATGCGAAGGGCCTCCTTTCAAGCGGATTAATGGGTAAAGCACCAAACCTCACCATCTGCGGGGTCAATGTTAACGGCCTCGGCGATAGCGGCAAAAGAACCAAGAATAGGAGATGGCTGCGCACATCAGCAGACATCATGGTGCTCTCAGACACACGAATCAAGGAAGACCACAATTTCTGGAGTGAGATTAAACCAAAGGCGTGGGCTGCGGTGGAGCCGAGTCAGACTTGTGAAAATGAACGAGAATGGCAAGTACAAATAGGTAAACAGCAACACAAGGAGGTGCACCACCAAACATGATGCAATATCTACACTACAACTGCAAACGATTATATAAAATATGTAAACATATTTTGACACGCCCCCATGATTGATTGCAGGAGTAAGTGTAAAACGCCCACGCTGGTCACCCACCCCATCCCCTCACCCTCCCCCTCCCCCTCCCCCTCCCCCTCCACACTGTTGCAGGAGCAACTGAGGGGGGGGCGAAAGGAGGAGGATGGGAAGGGGAGACCACACACCCGCCACCCCAATACCACTCCCCTGGCTCCCCCACACCCTCACACCCTCCCCCCCTGCGGCAGCTGCAGTAGTGGGAACGAAAGGAGGAGGAGGGGAAGGGGAGACTACACACCCGCCACCCCCACACCCGCCACCGTAGCAGCGGCCTCCCAGGGCGCCAAAGCAGGCGGCAGAAGGGGCGACGCTCGCCCCCCCACGCGGCCCCCTCAGGTCGCCTCGACAGGCGATGGGGAAAAGAGGGGGGGGGCAGTGCACGTGCCCCCGGTGCGCCGCGACAAGCGACGGAGCATGGCCGGGGCGGGGCCGGGGCAGGGTTGAGGCAGGATCGGTGCATAGCAGGGGGAGGGCCGCGGTCGGGGCAGGTCCGGGACGGGGCCGCGAAGGGGCCGCAAGGGGCCTGAAAGGTCGGCGACGGGGCCGGTAGGGGTGGCGACGGGGCCGCAAAAGGCGGCGACGGGGTCGCTGAAGGCGACGACGGGGCCGATAAGGGCGGCGACGGGGCCACAAAGGGGCCGCGAGGGGCCTGGAAGGGCGGCGACGGGCCGGTAAAGGCGGCGACGGGGCCGCGAAGGGGGCCGCGAGGGGCTGAAAGGTCGGCGACGGGGCCGATAGGGGCAACGACGGGGCCGCGAAGGGGCCGCGAAGGGCCTGGAAGGGCGGCGACGGGGCCGCGAAGGGGGCCGCGAGGGGCCACTACGGGTCTCGCGAGGGGCACGCCACGGGGCGTGCAGTACACAGAGTAGCAGCGGAAGCAACAGGCCAGGAACGTAGTTTGAACTGATAGCATATCAAGAAGTTCTAGAACCTAGGAGGCATGGAAACCTTAGGTGCTAGGAAAGGGGTTAACGAAAGTGTCGAGAGAGTTGATGCAAGCCAAAAGAGAGGTAAACAGCAACACAAGGAGGTGCACCACCAAACATGATGCAATATCTACACTACAACTGCAAACGATTATATAAAATATGTAAACATATTTTGACAAGACTGCAGGCGGAGTGGCCGTCATGACCTTCGGCAGACATATCCGGTTCTCGGACGTTATGGCGGATGTGTCAGGGAGGCTGCTGGGGGTGACAGTGGAGGGAGGAGAAGAACCTTTTTGGTTGGTTGCGGCGTACCTTCCGGCGCAAGCCTGCAATAGAGCAAGGTTTCACAAGGAGCACTTAGAGCCTTTCGTGCAGGCACAACCAGCCTCGAAGCACCTGGTGGTTGTGGGGGATCTCAACATAATTGCTGATCCAGAGTTAGATCGGTCGCCGGAAACAGGGTCGGGGAGGGAGAACCAGCGATTCGTGGATGCCTGGCAACCTCACGGCCTCTGTGACGCTTTCCGCGCCCTGTTCCCCGCAGAAAAGGAGTACACCTTCAGGGTGAGAGCCACGGGGTCGACATCTCGCATTGACAGGGCTTTGGTCTTGGTGTCGCTGCTAGGCAACCTGGAAGGAGCTCGCCATGTGGAGGTGCCGAGGAAGCTGTCGGACCACAGTTTTGCCATCAAGATTCGGCTTAAATTCGTATCGGAGCACGCGTCTGGGCCGAGACTCTGGAGGTTTAACGCAAGAAAGAAGAAAAAAGAGGGGGTGAGGAAAATTGTTAAGGCGCTCGCGGAGGCGCTCAACCGGTCAGGCCAAGGGTCGCTGGAGAGGGTGATCTCGAGGCTGTCGACGGGGCTGCGTATGCATGAGAAGGAAGAGAGGAAGAGGGTGGCAGCGACGCAGCTGCATCTGACGGAGGAAGTTGAACGGATGCGACATTTGGTCATGGGCGGACCGTCAGGCGACACAACGAAGGCGCTGCTACTCACCAGGGAGGAGCAGTTGGAAGCCTATCGAGAGAACGAACGAGAGAGGCTGGAGGTCTTTGAGGGGCTCACGGAGGAACTGCAGGGAGAGATCCCGTCACCCTTCCTGTCTGCCAAGGTCAAGATGAGGAAGGAACGCACGGTGATTGAGGAAGTGCGATTCAAAGGGGAGAGGAGTAGAGGATTGCATGCGGTGCTCAAGGCAGCCTCGGCTCACTTCGCGGAAGCCTTCAGTGAGGGGAGCCTGGGCTGAGGTGGGAGCAGAACGATTTCAGTGTGGACGGGGTTTTGCCGGCGGAAGCGGTAGTCAAGCTTGGGGCCGCGTGGACTGAGAAGGAGGTGAAGGAGGCGCTGGAAGGGCTGCCAAAAGGGAAGTCACCAGGGCAGGATGGGCTCCCGGCGGAGCTTTTCGTGGAGCACTGGGACCTGTTGGGGGGGGCTTTCATGAGGTTTGTCAGAGATTTCGAGGTGACGGGGGCATTACCAGAATCGTTGACTACAGCAGTAACTGTCCTGCTGCACAAGAAGGGGGAGAAAGACTTGCTGACCAACTACAGGCCGATAACGCTACTTACGACGGTTTACAAGGTACTTGCGAAGGTGCTGGCGAACAGGCTGAAGCAAGAGCTGCATCATATAATCTCGAAGGAGCAACACGGTGTGTAAATGAGTAAGCAGGAATGAGATGAACTATGAATGAAAGCAGTACAAATATGAAACCCTAACTGGGTTGTACCCCCTATGGGATACCCCACTACAGCCTACACAGCCGTATAAGCTATAGATATGTTCTGACACACCCCCATAGGCAAAGTGGGGGAGAACAAGGGGTCACAAGACCAGTCAAGCAAGACAAAGCAAAGCTCAGGGTGGATCACAAAGTCACCACACAGTCCGAGCACAAGAGCAAGGCCAAAGGCCAGTTCACAAGCAAGAGTACAGACATATATATATAAAACTAGACAAGCAAGAGCAGGTATATATATATGTCACAGTACAAGTAAAGTCAAGAGGAGAGCAAGTGAGGCAAGACAGGCACAAGACCCAGCTGGGTGCAGAAGCGCTGATGGTCACAAGGCGCAAGTGCCTTGGTGAACACATCAGCAGTGTTGGCCTCAGAGGCCACGTACGCAAGTCGCAACTGACCACGCTGCTGCAACTCACGAGCAAGGAAGTAACGGAGAGCAATGTGCTTCGTTCTGTGCTCCAAGCGCTGCTCTCGACACAAGGCCAGCATAGCCTTGTTGTCTACGTACAGCACTGGAGGAGAACGAGGCGGCTCTCCAAGGTCAGTCAGCAGGTGCGTGAGCCAGCGAAGCTCCTGTGCAGCCATGGCTCCGGCGTAGATCTCAGCCTCACAACTGGAGCCGAGAACCGAAGACGAGCGAGTAGACCGCCACGAGACAGAGCCGGAACCAAGGCTGAAGGTGTAACCCTGTGACGACCGCTGCGTAGCCTGGTCGTCAGCCCAAGAAGCGTCCGCGTGGCCGGTAAGGACCACTGGACTCCGCCCTCCAAGCACTAGCCCCATGCCTGACGTACTGCACAGGTAGCGCAATACCCTCTTCGCTGCAGCCATGTGCTCCGGTCTGTGTCTCCCAGGAGCAACATAGCGTGCAAGAATGCTCAGAGGGTATGCAAGGTCAGGTCGTGTGCAGGTCATCAGGTACATGAGGCAGCCAACAAGCTCTGCATACGGACCACTCGACTCTACGGACTCATCCGAAGGCAGAGCTGAGAGTGAGTGGCGAGTAGGCAGAGGAGTGGCCTGAGGCGAGGAGTACGTGAAGCCGAAGCGCTAAAGGACCTGCTGCACCATGTGTGACTGAGTCAAGGTAATGGTGCGGCGTGCTCTGTCCCGAGTGATCTGCAAGCCAAGGTAGCTGCGCAGTTCACCCAGGTCTGTGCACGTGTGTCTCTTCAGCAGCTCGGACTTCACGTAGGCGAGTCCAGCAGTGTCCGCTGTGGCAAAGACCAAGTCGTCGACGTACACGAGGATGTAGAACGGCGGCAGGGAAGTGTCGGTGCGAAGAAACAACGACGGGTCAGCAGTAGAAGGAGCAAACCCAAGAGCCGCAAGCGTAGTCCTCAGTGTGTCGTGCCACTCACGCGGTGCCTGGCGGAGACCGTAGACTGGCCGTCTGAGGCTCCACTGGGTGCCAGGAGGGAAAGTCCCAGTGAAGCCAGGTGGACGGCGAAGCCAGATCTCCTCGTGCAGGCTACCCTGCAAGAACGCAGTGCTGAAGTCGAGAGAGTGAAGCTCGTAGTCGCGCTGAGCGGCTATGTGCAGCAGCACCCGAAGAGTAGTCATCTTCGGGGTGGGAGAGAAGGTCTGAAAGTAGTCAACTCCCTGCCGCTGACTGAAGCCACGAGCAACGTACCGTGCCTTGAAGACAGGTGGAGAGCCCGGCGGCCGCTTCACCCTGAAGATCCACATGCCACTGACGATGTTCGCCCCAGGAGGGGGAACCGCGTCAACGTAGGTGCCTGTGGACTTCCAGGAAGCCATCTCTGCATCCATGGCTGCCTGCCACTGAGAGGAGTAGGGGCCCTCTACGGCCTCCGCGTAAGAACGCGGAGTCGGGATGTCTAGTGCATCCGGGTCTCCCTCAGGGGCAAGCAGTACAGACGCGAGATGAGGTGAAGCAGCCGCTAGACACTGTAACTCCTCCTGCCTGTCCTCTAGGACGTCCGTGCCAAGAGCACACTCACCCCCGACGGACGGAGGACAGACAGACGCAGACTCAGTAACAAGACTAGCAGCGTAGTCGAGACGACAGCGAGCAGCAAAGTCGACGAGCTCAGCGACTAGGGCAGACGCAGCAGTGGACTCAAAAGAGGGGTCAGTGACGACAGTAGCAAGCAGACGCGTGACAGTAGGACTCGCAGCGCGAAGAGAGTCCGACTCAGGGTCGGCAAGCGCAGGAAGAGAGGACTCAGGAGGAGAAGGCAAAGGGGCACGCAGAGGAGCAGTGGACGGACGCAGAGACATCCGGTGCGTGCCAGGGACAGGAGGAGGACGCTGACGCGAACTGCGACCACTAGCGCGAGCAGCACGAACAGGCGACGCAGGGCGAGACGCAGGCTCACGATGCTCAGCAAGACCTCCAGTAGGACCAGTGTAAGGAGAGGGAGCAGGCAGTGGAGAGGAAGGCTCCAGTAGGGACTGCGACTGGACAGGCGGTGGACCCTCTACTGGAGGAGAAAGACCAAGAACCTGCTGAAGGAGCGGAACGAAGTACGGCCGAGGCCGCGCGGCAGCTCCAGTCTCAGCAGGGACAGCACTAGCACCCTCCACACCTCCAGCGGCAGGACCAACAGCAGCAGGCTCAGCACGAATGCCCTCAGCAGCTCCAGCTCCAGGAGGACCCGCAGGTCCAGCAGCTCCGGGACCGGCAGCACCCGCACCCTCGACGATCGAAGAAGCTCCAGCTCCAGCTCCAGCAGCACCTCCAGACTCAGCAGCACGCCTCCAGCGGCGAGCGAACCACTCGCGCAGCTCCTGTGGAGAGAGGGGCTCCCGGCGAGACGCAGCAGCAGGAGAAACCCCAGGCTCAGCAGCTCCAGACGCAGCACCCTCAGGCTCAGCAGCTCCCAGCTCAGCACCCCCAGGCTCAGCAGCTCCCGACCCAGCACCCCCAGACCCAGCACCTCCAGGCACAGCACCCCCCGGCTCAGCACCCCCAGGCTCCGCACCCACCGCAGTAGCACCCTCAGGCCTAGCACCCCCAGCAGTAGCACCCCCAGGCACAGCACCCCCGCGCACAGTACCCCCAGAGTCAGCACCCCTAGGCTCAGCACCCGCAGCAGGACCAGAGTCACTAGTAACCTCGACCGGGTCAACGGCGTTTACCTGGGACACACCTGAGGGGGCAGGAACCTGAGGGGGGAGGGGGTCTACCGGGGGGGGAACCGGCACAAGGAAGTCCGGGGGAGGGGGGAGGGAAGGAGTGCGGTAGGGGAAGAGACGGTAGAAGGGGACTGACTCGTCGAACGTGACGTCCTGGGAGGACAGAACACGACGAGAGGAGGGGTGGTAAAACTGCCACCCTGGGGCGTCAGTGGGGAAGCCAAGAAAGACACAGGGAGCAGCACGAGGGGACAGCTTGTCCGCAGACAAGTCGCGGACAAACGCCCGAGATCCCCAGACACGGAACACAGACGCATCGCCAACCTTCCCTGTCCACAGCAAGACTGGGGACATCGCAGGCCGAGAGACCCGGGGGTGAAGGTTGAGCTGATGCGCCGCGTACCTCACCGCAAACGGCCATAGAAAATGGGGGGCAGCCGCATGCATCATGGACGTACGAGCGACATCCATGACCATGCCAATGCGGCGCTCAGCAATCCCATTTTGCTGTGGTGAGTCCGGAAGCGTGAAGGTCTGGCGGATCCCCCGTGCACGACAGTAGTCTCGCAGAAGGCTAGAAGAGAACTCTCCGCCTCTGTCAGAGTGCAGACGCAGAACAGGAAAGTCCGAGCCGAAGCTCTTCCTGAGCTGGAGACGAGCCTCGCGGATCCAGTCGATCAGCACCTCAGTGACCGCACCCTTGCTGCGCAAGGGGAGGACTGTGGTGTAACGCGAGTAGTCGTCAACCACCAACAGGAAGTATCGCTCGTAACCCTGCCCACGGACGGGGGCTGGGCCCCACACATCCATGTGAAGCGTCTGCAGGGGAGCCTCCGTCGGGGGGAAGTGGGAGGAGTGAGGAGTAGCCCGGAGGCGACCCTCGACACAGGGGACACAGGAAGGTCCTGGCCCGGAGGGGAGAGGAGGGAGAGACTGGGGAAGACCAGAGACAAGGACACGGGAAGCCATGCTCCGAAGACGGGGCAAGGAGGGGTGGCCAAGACGGTGGTGCCACAGGAGAGTCTCGTGAGACAGGAGGCGACAAGAACAGGGGGCAGACTCAGGACCTGACCGGGACGCAGCAGCAAGTACCTGACCCGACGCAGCCACCTGACCAGACGCAGGGACAGGAGGAGACTCAACGGTCAGGGTGTAGAGACTCGACCCCGGCCGACGCGAGAATGTGGCAAGGTGTCGGCCTGTGCGAGCCTCCGTGCAGTGGGTCACCCGCTGACGCGCAGGAGTGAACTGGTGAACACCCCCATCCTGCAGGTCCGCTCCACTCACCAAGTTCGTAGAGAACGAGGGAAGGTACAGACCCGACAGGGTGCCCGAAGGGGCAGCCGGACACGGGAGGACAGTGGAGAAGTGAGACAGGACAGGACCCCCAGAGGGGTCAGCAAGGGAGACCGCAACCGGCCTGGTGAGCGGCGAAAGGGTAGTGCGGTCTCGAAAGAAGGAACGAGAAGCTCCGGAGTCAAGTGTGAAAGTGAGGGAGGACGAGGACGACTCAGTACCTGAGAACGCAGTCTCACCAGTACCTGAGAGCGCAGACGCACTGGCACCTAGAGCAGCAGCCTCACAAGTACCTAGCGCAGCAGTACCAATGCCCGGGTCGGGCTGGAAACACCGGTAACCCTCATTCCCCTCACTATAATCCACAACATACATAGCAGTAAGGATAGCATCAAAATCAAGATCAAAGATCGCTACACCAGCCCTGAGAAGCTCATCCCAGCGAGGGATCTCACTAGCCCCAGGGAACTGATGACGCCAAGCGTCCGTCAGGTGGCCAAAGCAGCGCTGGGTGGCGTGG